GGTACGGGGGCAACACTGAGGGTTGCGATCCGTTGCTGGACACGGAAAAAGACAAAAAGACAAAAAAAAAAAAAGAAAAAAAAAAAGAAAGATAATTGATCATATATATTTGTGGGGTACAAAATTGAATATCAATAGCTGTGCGCACTATTTGGTGATCAAATCAGAATAATCAGTATACCCATGTTTACAAAATGTAATCAATCTTTGCGACCCTTAACTAATTTCTTGCTCTTTCTTGCTAACACCTCTCTCCCTCCTTTCTCACCTCTAATAACCATACTCTGGCTTTCTTTAGACTCCTGATGCCAGAAGGTTCTAACACTGTGCTGGAATTTCTCCCCATCCTCAGCTCAATACCCTTCTGGTCACCCTTGGGATGCAGCCCGGATTCCTCAGCTTGCTGTTCAGTGAGCATCCTTCACTCTCCTATCACTATCGATCCTTGCACTCTTGTTTGCTTTCCTCATGCTAATCTCAGCCACACGGAGTCAGGTGATACTCTTCTGGATGTTTCATATCCTTCCTGACTCTGCACCCAAGCCACTTGCTCTGCCTTTTCTTCCATATCCCCATGACTTCGATTCCATTTCCCAATGGCTTAAAAAAGCCTTTTTTGACTCTCCAGGCTGGAATGGTAGTTTCCTCTGTCTTTTCTCAGTGTCCTGTGGGCTACCTATTATAGCAATTTTCACAGTCTATTAAAATTATCACTTTACTTCTTGGTCTTGTCCAATAGTCTGGGAACCCCACATGGACTATATCTGATCAATCTCTGGATCCCCATATCCCAGCATATGGCTGGGAGTACCTGGCAAGTCTCAGGAAATACTTGTGAAATAATTAGAGAGCTAGAATGTATGTGCTTTTAATATGCCAAGCACTGTGTTTTATACTACTACTACTATTATTTTTTCATATCAACCTGTAAGTGATAGCATTACTTTTATTGAACAGTTGGGAAAATTGGCTCATAGATGTTGAGTCACTTGCCAGATGACTTGGGGTTTGAATCTGGACAGCCTGACTCCACAGTTCATGCTCTTTTTAAGTGCCATGGAATTCTGCCTCCCAAGTGCGGGTGTTCAGAGTAGGGACTGGGATGGGGTAGGGAAGATAGTTCCATTTATTCACACAGCCTTTTTTGATTCCTAGAGCCTTCTAGGAATATCAACATCTTTCCAAAGAGGTCAGGCCCTCCAGCTGGTAAGTTGTTCTCTCCAGACCCACTTGCTTCTCATTCCTGTCGCTTCGCCCAGAGCTGATACCTTTCCCTGTACAGAAGCTACCTCTCTGTGATCTGGGGTTCCGCTGTATAAAATATTAAGGAGAGGAGGGCAGAATATCAGCACATGGAGTTCAGAATTGATTGATAAAATCAGGTGGGAAGGTTGAGATTTTCCAAAGGGTCAAAGAAAGAAAAATTCCATCTCTCCCCACCACCTTTATAAATGTCTTCTCTTCCACAATTAGGTAACCAGGTAGCGTCTGTGTCAGGGGTTGTATCAGAGGCCTGTGAGGGGACGTATGGGAGAGGCGCTATTTAGAGAACTGGGCTTATCGAACCCTTGATCCTTTCTAGGAAGGAGATTGGCATCCCAGCTAGTAGGACATAATAGGATCTCAGATCAGGAATACGGCTATGAGAAACCCAGGATGTGGCTTGAAGCGGGTCCTAGCGATGGGCTTTTATCACTTGCTCCTGTCTCTCTTTATTCCTCCAGGTCTTGCCCGCCAGTATTACACCAAGGGCAATCTGGTCCGGATATGCATTGGCGTCGTGATTCTAATACTCCTGGCGGGGCTTCTGGCAGAGGATTGGCACAGCCGGAAAAAACCCCCGATGCACAGGGTCAGACCTGTGCAAAGGCCACTTCCACCCCTCCCGCAGACCCAAAAATCACATGGCCATCAGGATGGGGGTCGACTAGATGTTCATAACCATGAGTGCCACCACTAGAACCCCAGGCATGGTTGTATCCAAGAGGTCGATCATGGGAGTGAGGAGGTGACTTAAAGGATGTGCGTGGAATGTGTGGAGCATGAGAACCAGAGGGTAGAGCCTACAGCTGTGGAAAGGAGCGTCATGGGGCCTCTTCTTGGTGCTCCATCCAGGAGTTGTTGAGTCAGTCCTCAGTCCGAGGACTCCATCCATTTGGAAATGGAAGGAATCTAGTGGAGGTCTCAGTCTCCTCCCTGATAACTTGCACACTGTGGATCTTACGGTACCATGACTGGACTCCCATAATGGTCACTTTCTTCAACTCTCTCTAATATGGGTTCCAGATTGATCTCTAATATTCTCAGTTCTCAGAGATCTCTGTTCCATCCTCTCTGCAAAACGCTCCCATGTTTCCACTTTGGCTCTCTTTCTCTTCTCAGGTTATTCCCAAACCTAACTCTCACCCTGACTCCATCTTAAGTTGCTGTCTGATAAATCTCCTTTTGTTTCTTGAAATGAGTCTAGTTCTCTCAGGCAGTTGGGCATGCTATTCCTTTTTCTTGGTATATGATAATAATTATAGGGCTGACCAGTTAGCTCAGTTGGTTAGAGTGTGGTACTGATAACACCAAGGTCCGGGGTTTGATCCCTGTACTGGCCAGCCACCCCCCCTCCAAAATGTTATAACTAACATGTCAATGGCTTTCCTTCATATTAGAAAAAGAGTCCAAAGTCCTAATCTTGTCCTAAAGGCCAAAATAGATAAATCCATAGAGATGGAAAGCAGATTGGCAAATTCCAGAGGCTGGAGGGAGGGGGTAGAAAGGAATGGGGATAAATGCTTAATGGGTACAGGGTTTTATTTTAGGGTAATGAAGATGTTTGGGAACTGGATAGAGATAATGGCTGGCTGTGTAACACTGTGAATGTACTAAATGTCACCAAATGGCTCACTTTATAATGGTTAACTTTATGTTATGTGAATTTCACCTCAATAGAAATTAAAAAAAAAAACAAAAACAAAAAATCCCTGCTCCCTAACACCTACCCAGCTCTGTGTGGGGTCATCCGTCCTATGGAACTATGTGAGATTATACAAGAAATACTTCCTCTTCACTGTCACCAGGTTCTGACATCCTGTTGGGGGCTGTCCCCTCCTGAGAAGCTGAAGCCTCTCTGTTGTTAACATAGTCCTCAGGTAGAATTCAGTCTGAGTCCTCCACGGATATGACTCATATACACATGGGGTTCCAGCTCCCATCAGAATGAAACTTAAACCCTGAGGTGACCCCTGACCTTGGAAGGTAACTTGCCCCCAGGGGCCATCATAAGGATGCACTAAGATGATGTTCTGGGCTTGGCCATGGGATCTGCTAGAGAAAAAGAAATACCCAAGGTTGAAATGGTATTTCCACTTTTCACCACCGAAACTCTATGTCTGGACCTGATGCTTGGGGGAGAGGAATCCTACCCCAATCTTAAAACCTGGGTAACCCAAGAAAATACACTCAAACATGGATAACGTGGCCAATTCTGCACCACCCAGCCCACCCACAACCGTTTTCCTCCCTGGGAGTCTTACAAGTTGCTTCGTGGTGCAGAAAGCACCTCATTGGGAAAGTGGAGAGCTGGCTTCTAGAACGCCTTGGCTATAGCTGCCCACATAGTGCCTGTTACACACAAACACCATGAGTGCCAAATACCGAGACCCTCAGCATTTTTCCTACTAACCTTAGGAAAGGTACAGCCAGACCCTTACTCTCTAGGACAACTAGATGAATTCACTGTATTAAAACTGATCAGTCAAGGCTGGCCAGTAGCTCAGTCAGTTAGAACATGGTGTTATAACACTAAGGTCAAGGGTTCAGATCCCCATACTGGCCAGCCACCAAAAAACAAAGAAATAACTAAAGATACCGAGAGTAGGGTCTACCTGCAATGAGCTCACCCAGATTCCTGACAGGAACTGTCAATGCCGAGAAGCCTCCCCAACTCCCAACCCCCATGACTGGCAGGGCAGCAGAAATCATGCAATCGAACACTTGTCACTTCCTTTTTCCCTGGGCTAAATTCTCCCCAAATAAGGAATCTTCTCTCTAACTTTTGTCAGAACCCATTAATAAGTACAACTTCATTCATTCATGCTTTCACCTTTATTTCTCGATATATCCGTGACATTTCATACATAACAGGATTAAGTGGTCTGTGCGTGTTTCATGTAACCAGGGGCAGAACCAAGATGAAAACAACATCTAGCCCAGCAGCCAGCTTATCACTGAGGAGGCTCATAGGAAGTTCACCAACACCTTGAAGACCCATGACTTTATGGGAGAATGAATGACCCCAAGGGGTTCAGAAAATGAAGTCATGAGAAGAGGGTCTTTTCCTCCTGGGATCTTGATTGTCACTCTCAATGGTCAGTTGTGGGTGCCTTTCTTNATATCCGTGACATTTCATACATAACAGGATTAAGTGGTCTGTGCGTGTTTCATGTAACCAGGGGCAGAACCAAGATGAAAACAACATCTAGCCCAGCAGCCAGCTTATCACTGAGGAGGCTCATAGGAAGTTCACCAACACCTTGAAGACCCATGACTTTATGGGAGAATGAATGACCCCAAGGGGTTCAGAAAATGAAGTCATGAGAAGAGGGTCTTTTCCTCCTGGGATCTTGATTGTCACTCTCAATGGTCAGTTGTGGGTGCCTTTCTTTCATTTCTTTCAGCAGCTCCTGGATTTCAACATCATATTCATCTATTTTCAACCTGGGATGCGGGGGACAGGGGGAAAGGATTCTTGTTGCTTCAAGGAGATTCACTTCAAATCCCCAAGTGCCTGAAAGTCTCATGCCTTAAGAATTCACAGAGCATGGGCCACCTTTCTTGACTATTCTATGACACAAAGGAGAGTTTCATATTGATTTGATGGGGAAAAATAATATCAGGTTAACACCGTAAATAGTATAAAGCCACTGTGCTGCTCTGGATGCTTGGATGCTTATCTTGTATTGTACTTGGAGTGAGATTTGGAATTGATGAATACATCTGTGATACAGCTCTAATACCTACCTTCTCTATAACCCACTTTGACAACTTCTACTTGGTGAACCCAGGATTACCGGTTAAATAGATGAGATGTATACCTCAAATCAAATTAGTCAGACCAGCTTTTGTCTACCCCCCTTGGCTAAAGATACTAGCTAACTATCACCATTTATTTGGCCTGTGATGATGACAGCCTCATTTCTAGAATTTACCTTGTGGTAACCATATTCAGCCATGTGTATGTAGAATTGGGGATGTGGGGTAGAGAGGAAGAGGAGTGGAGAGGGAATTATTAAAGCAAAATATGTATAAAAATGATACCAGGGATATTAGTTGCTATGTTTCTTGTTAACAATGTAGTCTTGTTTTTGCTAGCACATTAATCAAGTTTTGTTTTGCTGTTCAAGATTCAAAATACACTCATGACATCTTAGGCTACCTTTAGTTAGCAACTAAAATAACCAGGTAAAATAAGGGCTAACTAGCTTCAAAAAGTTTTAAACATGACCCTCTAAGGTTAAATGTAACTGCGTTTATTCATAATTATTGGAGGTTGGTCAAGGTATGTGGTAGTTCCAATTCTATAGCCAACCAACATCATGGAAGTAATCAGAAACGGGGCGTGAAGGACCACACCAGAACATAAGTATGAGGTGTGATGTTGGGGTTCTTTGGCTACAAGTAAGAGAAAATGACTTTAGTTAACTTAGAAGGGATTATTAGAAGGATATGAGGTAGCTGATAGAATCAAAGAGCTAAAAACCAAATTCTGTAAGGGCAGGGCCCAGACATGATAGGCTTTCAGGGATCTATGATCCAGGAAGAAGCCCCCACCTTGAATCACTCATCTTGAAACTCAAAGACCCAAGAAAAAATGTCTGACTGGCTGGTCCAAAGAAACAGCCCCCCTGTTGTCATTGTGGAAGAGCTTTATACCTTGATTAAAACTTGCTGATATTATCTAAAGTGGGAGGGCTAACTCATAAGAAGAGGGCTAGGAAAAGAAATAAAATTAGTGTCCACATGTCCCTTCTTTTGACTTGCAAGTTACCTTAGGGCAGAGATTCGTGTTAAGAAAATATATAATCTATGTTTCGTTTACATAATTGTGATTATTTGAAGCCATCGTGGTTCATGTTGCATCTGAGAATTTCAAAAAGTCTCCACTCTACTAGGAAGTCTCATGGTTCTTTGTTGCCATGGTTACAAGTAAAGAACAGAACCCAATGACTACTTGCTCCAACAAACAAGTAAACAATAGCCAACTGGTGACACCTTCTACTAGCCCCAGACGACTCTCATTAGAGAGAAGACTCTCTCTAGAGAACATGCTTCCAAGGCTGATGCTGACACACCAGACCTTTTTTCAAAAGCACCATATGAAATCTGTAGTTTGATTTCCCTAACAAGGTGATGGCTGACCACCGCAGCTCTCCCTCCCTTAAATAAGCCATGAACCGAACTTCTTGTTTCAGATTGGGTGTTGGTCTCATTCTGACTTATCTTACCTGCCAAAGCAACAGAAGGAATCAATGGGAGAATTATCTGGTGACCAAACAGGACTCTCATTAGAGAGAAGACTCACTCTAGAGAACATGCTTCCAAGGCTGATGCTGACACACCAGATCTTTTTTCAAAAGCACCATATGAAATCTGTAGTTTGATTTCCCTAACAAGATGATGGCTGACCACCGCAGCTCTCCCTCCCTTAAATAAGCCATGAACCGAACTTCTTGTTTCAGATTGGGTGTTGGTCTCATTCTTTGACTTATCTTACCTGCCAAAGCAACAGAAGGAATCAATGGGAGAATTATCTGGTGACCAAACATCAGTGGATGAAAGCTGAATGCTCGTGATCGATGCCTACAACAAATTCCTGTAGTTTGAGCTTCCCCAAAACCTACTATCATGGAGGAAACATGATGGGAAGAAGAAGGATCATACCTGAGTGTTTGGAGGGAGCAATTTTGAAGT